TCCTTATATTGATGAAATGGCAGAGCCACTAAAAAAATGTTCATGATACAATATGGGTGCTTAGAAATGTTGCCAAGAGCGGCGGCTAGATGGCGCAGTAGATAGAGCCTTGGAGTCAGGAGGACCTAGTTCAAATCCAGCCTCAGACACATGACACTTATTAGCTGTGTGACCCTGGGCAAGTCACTTAACCGTGATTACCTCACCAAAAAAAAAAAAAGAAAAAGAAAAGAAAAGAAAAAAAGAAATGCTACAAAGAGATGAACCTGGTGGAAGTCTACAGGGAGGACCCAAGGCAGGGACGGACAGAGAGGCCATTAAGTGCATGACATTTGGTTTTTCTAGAGAACAGCTTGTTTTCTCCTCCTTTCAATGTTTTAACCAGATTAAGATTCAAATTTTTCTTTTTGGACTCCTGAAAAAAATCTCTTAAGGTAAAAGTACTACAGGTATTTTTCTTATTCAGCTATTAAACTGAAGTCTATTTATTACCATGGGGCAGCTAGGTGGTGAAGTACACTGGCCTGAAGTTGGGAAGATCTAAGTTCAAATCTGACCTCAGACACTAGCTGTCTCATCCTGGGTAAGTCACTTGATGCTGTTGGCCTCAGTTTTTTCATCTGTAAAATAAGGTAGAAAGGAAATGACAAATCACTACAATATCTTTGCCAAGAAAATCCCAAATGGATCACAAAGAGTTGGACATAACTGAAGTGACTAAAAACAATAAAATTTAATCCTGTGGTATTAATAATAAATATTTGTAGCTGTTGGTTTCTTGCCATTAATAACTTTGTATTGTCCTCTCAGGGCTTTTCTTCTTATAGGTTTGCTGAGATTGTCTTAGGACGTTTAAATAGCGAGTCTACCACAATTTGCTTTGTTTACTAAGATTGAAAAAAATTTAAAGATTTAAAATTGAAGATTTAAAAATTAAAAATTTAAGATTTAAAGTTCTAAAGATTTAAAAAAAATCTGTCAAGTTGAGAACGCAGTGAACGTTTTGGCGTCCATCCAATTCAGTTCAACATATATTTGGTCAGTGCTTGCTAAGTCATAGCTTCACAGATTGAGTGATGGAAAGAACCTTCAAGGTCATTTAGTCCAAAATCTCTCCATATACAGTTGAGGAAACTGAGCCTCTGGAGGTTAAGTGATTTGCCCAAGGTCACACAAGAAAGAAGTGGCAGAGGTGGGATTTAAACCCAGACTCTCGGACTCTAGGTCCATCATGGCTATCCAGCGCACCCCGCTTCTCCAAGGCACAGTTCTAGATGCTGAAGATCCAAAGACATTTAGAGTGTGACCCTCAGTGCCAGGAAGGATGGCATTGCTCAGCCAAAGTAGAAAAGTCTGCGTGTGGGGGTAAGGGAAGAAGGTATGAATGCTGGTGGGTCCTGATGAGTTTGAGATGTCTAAGGGACCTCCAGGGGATTTGTTAGTGTAAACAGATGGGATGTGTGTCTGGAGCTCAGGAGAGAGATTGGGGCTGGTTAGATAGATCTGGGAGTCATCTGCATGCAGATGATAAAGTCATGGGAGTTAATGAGATTAACATGGAAGATGTGTGTGTGTGTGTGTGAGAGAGAGAGAGAGAGCGAGAGCGAGAGAGAGAGAGAGAGAGAGAGAGAGAGAGAGAGAGAGAGAGAGAGAGAGAGAGGGAGGGAGGGAGAGTTTGAGGTTGCTGGCAGTGTGCACTGAGGGATTCTTACATTTAGCTGGCACTGTGTCCACATGATACGATGCCTTTTTTTAAAAGCTCTTCATTAGGCATTGAAAATACAAAGAAAAAATACATGAAACAATCCCTGACGGAATTTACATTTGTAAAAAGGCTTTGGGGTTGACTCTGATCATATAGAGCAGAGATGGAGGGGTCATCTCTCTCCACCTGCTCATTTTCCTTATTCGTTCTTGTCCTAGTTCTGAGGCAGGGGCTCTTAATCTGACATCTGTGAATTTGTTCTGTAAAACATGTTTTGGTAATTGCATTTCAATACAATTGGTTTTTCTTGTACTCTGATGTGTTTTATTTTAGATCAACCCCTCCTCTAAGGTAATCAAGGGGCATTTTCTGATATTTCCATATTAAGTATTAAAATTATGAAATCTTAAATGAATGAATGACTTTTGTGTTCCCACCTTTGTTTATTAAACTATTAAATTAAAATTTTATTAAAATTATTATTATTCCATAAGCATTTGCTAATTTCTATCAATACTCTTAATCTTTTTTTTTGGGGGTGAGGCAATGGGGGTTAAGTGACTTGCCCAAGGTCACACAGCTAGTACGTGTCAAGTGTTCGGTCTAAGGCCGGATTTGAACTCAGGTCCTCCTAACTTCAGGGCCAGTGCTTTATCCACTGCGCCACCTAGCTGCCCCTAATACTCTTAATCTTCTAAGTTTAAAAAAAATCATGTGTACTGGTTGTACTATTTATTAAGAATATAACAAACAATAAAACAAAGACAAATGATTGTTTACAATATATCAACCGTGAGAAAGATTATATCCAAAGTCACCTTTAAGCACGTCTACAACTGCAGACTTTTAATTCTAGAAACGTAATTATGACATTTAGTTCTTATAATCTAAGAGGATGTAAGTTTATGTCTGTAATGAAAAACTGTCTCTGAGTTTGTTCCTGAGGTAAGGTTTGAACTCAGTTCTCTCAGGAAGTAAGTTTCCTTATTCCTTTTTCGTTGTCCTCTCCTCAGGCATCACAGCTAATAGCCTCTCCACAATAACAGTTAAAACTCCCCTCATTGACTCTTTATAGACCCTAATTCCATACCCCAATTTAGTTACACTGTGGCTCCAAGGTTTTATTGCCTCTTAAAGATAGAGTAACAGTAATTTGGGTGAGATCATTCAAGTTGGTTATACTTTCTAATGGAGAAGAAAACATGTACGCATGTAAGAAAATACAAAGTATAGACTTAGTAATTCCACTAGGGAGAGAGAAACAACATCAAGGGAGATCAGGAAAGGCTTTGTGGCGATGTAACCTCTGTGTTTTAATAGAAGCTGGGGATTATGGGAGAATTTTCATTGAAAGCATTTACACCTTAGGAAGTGACAAGTGCTACAACTCAGGCCTTGATTTATTGTTTGATTGATCATCTAGATTTAAGAAAGTGATGGAGAAACCATTTTGGAGAGCAATTTGGAACTATGTCCAAAGGGCTATAAAAATGTGCATGCTCTTTGACCCAGCAATAGCACTTCTAGGGCTATATCCCAGAGAGATCATACAAATGGGAAAAGGACCCACATGTACAAAACTATTTATAGCAGCTCTTTCTGTGGTGACAAAGAATTGGAAATTGAGAGGATGCCCATCAATTGGGGAATGGTTCAGCAAGTCGTGGTATATGAGTGTAATGGAATGCTGTTGTGCTGTAAGAAATGATGAGCAGGCTGCCTTCAGAAAAACCTGGAAAGACTTGTATGGTCTGATGCTGAGTGAAGTGAGCGGAACCAGGAGAACGTTGTACACAGTAACAGCCATGTTGTGTGATGACTAATATTCATAGACTTAACTCTTCTCAGCAATACAAGGATATAAGACATCTCCAAAGGCCTCATGATTCAAAGAAAGAACTATGGAGTTGAATGCAGATCGAAGCATACTATTTACTATTTTTGTTTCTTCTATTGTGTTTTGTTTCATCTTTCTGGTGATTCCTCCTATTGGTTCTAATTCTTACCTACAACATCACTAATGTGAAAATATGTTTAATAGGAATATATATGTGTAGCCTATATCAGATTTCTCGCTGTCTTGGGGAGGGAGGGGGATAAAAATTTGAAACTCAAAAGCTTATGGAAGTGATTGTTGATAATTCAAAATAAATTAATTAAAAATAAAAAAAGAAAGGAGAGAGGATTTGGCATTTAGCAATTTTTAAATGAATGCTAATTTTTACATGTAATTGAAAAACATTTAATGAAATAGATATATTTTTAAAAAGTAAAAAAAGTGATGGATAAAATGCAGATTAAACTGGAAAGTGTGTCACAAACACTTTATTTTTTCTTCTGGAGAACTGGTTGTTAAACATTTGTGCAAAGACATGGAGATGAGAAATGCAATGTCATGTACAGGAAACAGCCATCAGATCAGTTTGATTGGAGTAAAATGAGTAAAGGAGAGGATTCAAAAATGAGACAGGAAATGGAGACTTCCAAATCGTGGAAGCCCTTACGTTTCAGGCTGTGTGATTTGCTTTTTATCCTACAGGTAATAGAGAGCCACTGAATATTTTTAAGTAGGAGAGTGAGGTAGTCAGAGCTGTGTGATAAATGGTTTGGAAAGGGGAGATACAGGGAGACAATTAGGAGGCATTCCAGTACTGCAGATGTACAGTGAGGAGATAAGAGTGAGAGAAGAGGCTAGTCAACCAACCAGCATTTATTAAGCACTTACTGTTTGCAGGTTACTGTGTTAGGTGCTGGGGATGCAAAGAAAGGCAAAAACATGGTCTCTGCTGTCAAGAGCTTACAGTCTAATGGGATGATGTGGAGGTAGAATTAACAAGATTCTGATCGGACAGGTAGCTAGGTGACTCAGTGGTTAGAGCACTGGCCTGGAGTCAGAAGATATGAATTCCAATCTCACATGACACAGTTAATCCTTGTGTGATCTTGGGCATGTCACTTAACCCATCTTGGCCTCAGTTTCCTCAACTGTAAAATGGAGATAGTAATAGCACCTACCTCACTGGGCTGTGGTGAGGATCCCATGAGAAGACAGACACAAGCTACTTTGCCAACCTTAAAGTGCCCTAGAAATGCTTGCTTTATGGGTTGTGAGGGGTGAGCAGTGTCAGAGATGACTGAGGTTTTGAACCTGAATGACTGGAAAGAAGGTGGCGCCCCAAGCAGAAACAGGCAGTTTGAAAGGAGTGAGTTTGGGGGGAAATATGCTCCGTTTCTTTCTGGACACATGAGTTCGAGATGCCATTGAAACGTGTCCTTCATCTGCCTCTCCTTTCAGCTTGCAGCTGTTTGTGATGTTTTTGTGGAGAACTACGTACCTGGCAAGCTCCTTGAAATGGGTCTGGGCTACGAAGACATAAGCCAGGTGGCTCCTCATATTGTCTACTGTTCCATAACAGGTACTTAGCCACTGACCTGGTAACAGGGTCCGGCGTCCCGAGGGAGGAGGGCGCGCACGCCTTTGGGGGGGGGATGAGAAGCCTCTGACTGGCAGTGGTGCCCCCTGCACTTTTTTCTTGGCCAGTTCAGCCTAGAGAGAGGGGGGGGCCCTTTTTTAATGCTCTTCCTATTATACCCTTAGTAACCAACCCCAAAATCAAGCATTGAAATATACAAACGAGAATTTCTGAAAACAAGATTGCACAGGAAATGGAAACGTTATTTGCTATCTGTTTGGGAAAAGAAGTAGAGGAATTTACCAAGACAGCGCCAGAATGCTGTGCTTGCACCCCTCTCCCCTTCCGGACCCACATTCCGTGCATTTCCCCGGATTTTCTTGGTGCAGTTTTCCCTATCTTCACCATCGTTGTCAGCGTCCGCACGCTCATTCGGTTTTGCCACTTTCCTCAGCATCCTGTAGTTCACGTCTACATTTCCCCATTTGTCTTCGTGGCAGGGCAGGGCTTTGATCGGTTTGAGGAGAGCTTGCTGAGAGTCCAGAGTACGAGGAGGTGGGCACAGGAAGGGCACACAGGGAGCTCAGTTCTCTGATTGGTTCCCAGTGATTGGGGCCACCTCGAAGACCTCGAGGACTGCAAATACTCGCCCAGGCTACCTTTTCTTTGGTTTGGGGCTTGGTTGAAGACTTTGGCAGCTTTAAGGGTGGTGAGCCCCGGGTGGGCCTGGGCTGGGAGCCCTGAGAACCCCAGAGAGCTCCCCGCCTCCCCCTGGCCCCCGGAGGCCCCCTGGTGTTGGGTGGGTGTGGGGCTGTCCTATACCTGATTCTCATTCTGAGCACCCTATCGGGTTGCTGCCCAGCAGCACCCCCTGGTGGTGAAATGTAAATTGAGGATAACAGACGATTGCAGTAAAACCCCAAATGGATTAGGAAGAGCGGGACAGGGCAGAAGCCACCGAACGGCACCAGTCCGTGGCACAGAGTGGTTGCCAGGCTCAGATGAACTTGTGGAGGTAAGGCATTTAGGGCCTCAGGCCATAAAGTCGTAGACTTGGAGTTAGAAGGGGGCGTAGGGGCCGTGTAGTCCAACCACCCCTTCATTTTGGAGAAGAGGAAACTGAGGCCCAGAGAGGTTAGGTGCTTGCCTGAGATCACACGGATACTAGCTGACAGAGGCGGGATTCAAACCCAGGTCCTCTGATGCCAGCTCCAGCGTTGTTTACACCATACTACACCACCATCCCATTTTGCAAACATCAAAGGGCCATAGGAATGTCAGTTATGTGCCTATGAAGGTCATTGATCAGAGTGTGGAGCTGGGAGGGGCCTCAGATGTCCAGCTCCTTCATCTTGCGAATGGAGGAAGTGAGGCCCTCGTGAGGCTGAGTGACTAGGTCCCACAGTGAATAAGTAGGAGAGCTGGGATTGGAACCCAGCTCCTCTGCCTCCAAGTTCCATGCCCCTTTCCCTTCATTGCTCTGGGACATCTGCTTCCATTCACAGCCTGCATGATAATGTGAAGGCACGGCAGGATTGTGCCTTAGCATAGCCAGATTCCCCTCTGTGGTCTCTGCACTGTCTTTGGGGCTTCTCAGCCAAGGGACTGGTCTGTTTCGTTAGAAGAGGTTCAGTCAGAGTTTCACCGGTGCCTTGTATTTTTACTTCTCGGTCCTTACGGGTTCACTTCCCCACCCGACCTCTGAGCGAGTGTTCCCTTGTCACAAAGAGTAACGGGTGGGCAGAGCCAACCACAAGCGACACCGTGCCCGTGTTCTGAAGGCTGGCCTTGCTCCCGGGCTCAGCTTCCCCTCAGTCCTTCTCCCAGATCAGCTCTGGTGAGCACACATTGAATTCTTAGTGTGGATAGAGACCGAGAGGCAAGTGATGTCAGCAGAATTAGAAGCGAACATAGAAAGAGAATGAATTCACCAATCAAGCAAAGGCATTTATTGAGCAGCTGTTACGGTGCCAAGTGTTGGGATACACTCAATACTTCAATCAACAAGCATTTGAAAAAAGCCTACTGTGTGTCAGGCATTGTGTTAGATGCCAGAGGTGCAAAGAAAGAGAAGGAAGAAGAAGGTGGGGGAAGGGACCAAGCACCTATTGAATGCCTACTATTTGCCAGGCTGCGAGGTGGCGCCATAGAGCATAGAACGGGAGGCCTGGAGTCAGGAAGACTTCCCTACCTGAGTTCAAATGCGGCCTCAGACACTTACTAGGTGTGTGACCCTGAGCAAGTCACTTCACCCTGTCTGCCTCAGTTTCCTCATCTGTAAAATGAGCTGGAGAAGGAAATGGCAAACCACTCCAGTATCTTTGCCAAGAAAACCCCAAATAGGTCATGAAGAGTCAGACACGACTGAAACAAAGACCAAAAGGGCTAAATGCTTTACACACATTATCTCATTTGATCCCACAACAGCCCTGAGAAGTAGGTGCTATCATTATCACCATTTTACAGTTGAGAAAATTGAGGCAAACAGAGGTTAAATGACTAGTGCACTTTGTGCCCTCTGGCACCCCCTAGCAACCTCGAAGCAAAATGTTTCTTGTCCTCAAAAACATATTCTAATATGTGATGTGACATGGATATATATAAATATATGTATATATAGGTATATTTGTGTGTGTATGTGTTTTATATAAAATGCATGTATCATATATTCTATAGATATCTTTGTAGAGAATAGAACAATGTAATCTTGGAGGAACAAAAAAGGCCAGGCTGCATCCTGCGTTTCACTAATTCTGTTTCCACATTCATGTTGCACTTCTCTCTCTGACTGTGTCCATGGGTACAGAAGGCAGGAATGAGAGAATTTCCCTCCCTAAAGTCCCCGAGCCCAATGGAACTGTCAGGAAGTGAAATATTCTAGCAGATGCCACACTATGTTCTCTATCCCAATGGAAAACCCTCATTCCTGGAGAGCCGAGGCAGTGGGATGCCACTCCTGATGTGAGAACAGGGGCAGGAGATGCTGTCTCCCATTGGTTGTCTCCACAAGATCAATATCTGCTGTTTCTTGCCTTTCATTTTTCACCATTCTATTTACAAAGGTGGAAGTCATTAGCAAGTTTACTAGCAAGGGACTTTAAATTGCTGGAGTTTTGAGAACCAGAGGTCATGTGTGGGTGATGAGTTCAGATGCAGATAGGGCCAAATTTGTCTCCCTTCCAGAATGCCAGTGCTTCTGGTGAGGGAGCCCGGGCTTCCATCGTTTTTGAGAGGCAGCCGCTGCCCCCTGGTATGACTGGGATGCCAGAATTCCGCAATGCCATCTACATGGCTGATGGGCCCCAGGGTGTCTGTTTTCACTCACATGTAGGCGTTGGGGCTGGTGAGTGTAATTCTAGAACGGTTCCAAGTTTTACATGTAATCGATTTTGACAGCTGTGTGGTTAGATTTGTGAAGAGTACAGATGTCAGCCCCTCTGACATATACTCTATTCTGGTCACATGGGGGCATCCGATTCTGGCCCTGGCCTGGGCCTGCTGAGCAGTGTGGTTCAGCCCAGAGCTCTATTTTCCAGTGTCCATGCTTGTGCATGGACTTTAGGGGGCAGTCTTGAAAAGGACATCGTTGTACCAAGGCAGATTCCCGGGAATCGTTGCAGGAGGGAAACAGCAGCATTTCCTGGACATCATTAGGTGGAAGAATTCTGGAAGGAGAGAGCTGGTCACTTTGGAAATGCCTTTTGGGGGTGAGGGAGCAGCTTCCCTGGCCCTGTTGACCGCAGTTTTGGGACGATTGCTTTCTTGGCATTTTGGTTTTGTGACCGAGTCAAGTTTTCTCTCTTGCATCTCAGGAGCCTGCAATTTCATTTCTGTAAAAACTGGAGATAGAATTTGCCTCTTTCACCTTTTTTTTGCTCCTCTTTGCTTCCCTTCTTTCGGGAAGGTAAGCATGTGACCTCATGAGTCACGGAATCACATATGGAGATCTAGGAGGGACCTTTTACATAATTGAGGCTAACGTCCTCTTTTTACAGAAGAGAAAACAGGCCCAGAAAAGGGAAGGGAATTGACCAAGGAGCTGCAGGTAGTAAATAGAAGAGATATTTGAACCTTGAGAGAAGGGAAGGACTCACTCAAAGTCACCCAAGAAAGAATGAGCATAATCATCATTCCAGGTTAGATCTTCCGTGTCCATTTAGTCCGAGGGGAAGTTACAGTGCATAGAGTGCTGAGCCTAGAGTCAGGAAGACCTGAGTTCAAATCTCTTCCCAGACATTGCTAACTAAGTGACCGTGGGCAAGTCACTTAACCTCTGGTACCTCAGTTTCCTCAATTATAAAATGGGGATCATAATAGCACCTACCTCCCAGATTGTTGTGAGCATTAAATAGATAACAGTTGTAAAGCTCTCAGCACAGTGCTTGGCATATAGTAGGTATTTAATAAATGTTTGTTTCCTTTTCCCCCTTCCTTTCTACCATATCACCCTGCTTCTATCAATAAACCTTTCTTAAGTGCCTACTGTATGCCAGGTTTAGGGAGACTTGACTAGAGATGGAAAGAGTCATGTTCTTTTCTCCAAAATAGAAATGGCACTTTTACTCTTTGGATATAAATGGATTGATTTTTACGCAGGAATAGAGTTAATAGTAAGCCAACTCTAGCTAGCATTTCTATACTGCTTTAAGACTTGCAAAGCACTTTACATATTATTTCATTATATACTCACAATAACCCTATGAGGTAGTTGATGTTATTATCCCCCTTTTACAGATGAGGAAATTAAAGCAGAGGTCAAGGGACTTACCCAGGGTGATACAGCTCGAGTCAGAGGCCAGATTTGAACTCAGTTCTTCCTGCCTAGATCTCAATCCACTGTACCACCCAGCTAGCCATCTTTAAGCTAAAATAGCTACACCAACCACCTCCCTACTCTGAAATGCTTTCTGAAGGCCTTTTGTGGTGAAGCTGCTTCATCCCCATGACCATGGGCGGTCTCCAAGTGCTTCTCTTCCCTTTTACCTTTGCGGCTTTTCCCTCTT